ACTCTGGCCTTGTAATCCTGGGGTCTCGTGTTCGATTCCCGGCGGTGCCCGAATTTATAACTTGTGTTGGGCATGGCCGTGGTCTAGGCAACACGGAGTTTTCCTCCGTGGCATCCCAACAATTACTCCATACACACAGAAGAAGGCAATGGCAAACCACTTCTGGATCATCTGCCAAGAACGTATATGAACAGGTCCCAGTCCGAGAAAAGGATGGAAGGATCCTGTTCATATGGACCTGTCGTCAGACAGAACACTAAATATAATAAATATCTTACATTTTAACTATGCTTACCCCTGACTATTCTGGTCTGGAAAAGCTAACGACGGAGTCTGCAAAATTAAAATTTTACGTACAAGAACTTCAAAGTCTCAAGACGTGTACTTATCCCGCTCTTACAGTAGGTCCCACGGTGTTTCTTAGCAAGTGACTTCAGAAGCAACTAGAGTTTAATTCGACAATGGGGCTTCAATTAGGCAACCTCTGTATACACGAATTAATTGAACTACCCCCCCCCCCTCCCAGCACCGCAAACTCTTGATGGAACAGTGTAAAGGAGTTGTAATTGAGATGGCTACCTAGTGCGTGTGTGTAGTTTCAGTAACAAGGGATTTTCGATGGCCCAAGTTTCAACCACAAACTATACCGTTCACAATTACACGCATTGTCCCTCCTTGGCCCCGTGCGGCATTAATAGACGGCTTACTTTCAGTGTTACCGCTCGTAACAAGCAAAAGTTCCCGTTTATGATTTAACGCTGGAATGTAACGCCTGTGGTGAGATTTCAGGTTCTCACGTGGGCGAGTATAAAGATGAGTATCTTCTCGGATCTTTCGCCATACTATTCCATTGCATACTCCGTATTTACGTCATTAATCAAAATGTAATTGACTCTAGATACCTGCTGGCAACACCAAATGAGGCGGATCGCCTTGACGGAGCGACTACTTCTCCGACACGTTTGTGTTACGCGGCAGTCTAACTTGCAGGCGTTTACAGAACAACAGACGGACCTCATTATCAACAATGAACACTGACTGGGCTATCCATTCAGGCTTTAAATAAGTGTAACAATGGTATTACAAATATAATTATAATGCCACTTCAGATGAGTTCGCAACTCTCTTTATACGGAAATGCATAGGATGATCTGTAATCATGTTTCCTTTCGTAACAGTTGGTTAGTCTGTACCGTATTTACTAACGAAGTGTCAGGTGAAATTGTTATCTTACATCGTCGAGTAACATTCGAGAATTAAAATGCACAGTGAACAGACAGGACACGCATACAAGCGGTCGTTATGAATTTCAAGAGAATATTCCAGAATTCGCTTGAAAGAGTGGTTATTACTCCTGCTTCGCATTCGGGAGGCTCCAGGTTCAAATCTCGGCCTGCTGACAGGCTGTCCTGACAGGTTTGTGATTGTTTTCCTCAGTACCTTCGAGATAATACTTTGGGTCACACGTTTATTCCGAATATATACACTGTCCAAAAAAAAAAAATCATCGTAACGAAACACGTAAAGCGCAGACCTCACAAAAGCTCACAGCATTTAATTGAAACTTTTTTTTCATACGTCGAATTAAAAACAAATACAAGCGAAATAGTTTCTAACTCTTTGAATTGCAATGCGTAGTCAATTAGCTTTTAGAAAAAAGACAAATTGTAACTAAAATAAATTAACATCAAAGCCGATGAACACGCAAAATAGGAATACATAAAATGTGTATACCGCATCTGAGTTCAACATTCAAAGTCTTGTGACATACATTTCATTGTAAATGTCGCGTACAAAGACAACGGGAGCCATCTCTCTTCCTCCTGCTTTAACGTGCACACATTTCCAGGTGTACTGCATATTTAAAGGTTGATATTACTGCTCCGTACATCTCATGGGAACACCGTGTGTGTACCTGCTTTACGAATATACGAACTTCAATGCATCCATTACGTGACTGTTAGTCTACTGATGCCCAGAGAACAAAGATTCAAACCGACAGGTATTTTAACAACATTTTGTTCAAAAGGTAACAGCGCCGGTCTCATGCTACCATGTCAGGTGCAAGGGATTAATTAAGAAGCTGTGCTCTTGCATTTTGTTACGTAGGCAAGCTGGAAATACCAAGAGATCAATAAATCTTTACCTTGCGGCCACTGGGTGATAAATAAGTGTTTATCGGAATATGGGACAGCATTTAAATACGTACCATAGTGATATTTAGTGCATTCAAATTCTCCACCCACAGCCCACAAGTGTCCTACTTGTCTTCATGTTTGTGTCTATGACGATTTCTGACGATGGTTCATTAACTGAGCGTATATTTTAATATGCACAAACACGAACCAAGAGCCAAGTCAGAGAATACGTGGAGCCTCATCCCTACTCCCCCTTCACGCAACTGCTCCAAGTAACAGAAATATCTGTTCCTTTAGCTAAATTCGTTTATACGTTCATGTTGGATGAAGTGGGTATTAAGAGCAGAAGTTATACTTTGCAACTAAACTCAGACACGTCTACCGCTTCGTAATATTGTTATGCTATACAACCGCTGAGTTATTCAGCCTACAAACACTAGATCTCTTCATTACAAATACGTTTCCCTCGTATATCTATGTTAACTTTAAAGTCTGCAAATGGTTAGATTATCGTGTCAAGAGATGGAACAATTTGTTTTCTTTTCACTTATTAATGTCTCATACTACAGGGAATTAGGTTTGGTTTCAAAGCGATGTATCTCATTTATGCCACGGAAAAAGTTAATACGTAGTTATAACTCATCATTGTTACGACGTGATGTCCACATAAAATCAGGGGGAAACGAATAAATTTAACAAACCTAATCTTTGAACACAAATTTTATCAAGACTAATTCTACAGCTTTAGAGATTATTCCAACCTATTCTGACGTTTTATACGTCATCAAATCTCTTTTAATCTCATGCATAAGTTGAAATCTACTTCTACGTCCCTCCGTCTCTTTCTCTGCATTTGAAAGTGCATCTCGACAGTTTCATTGCCTTGTTATCTTCTTACAAAATACAGCACTGAGT